TTTGTTTTTCAACCAAGTGAGGTATCAAAACTACTTATCTGGGGTAAATTAACATTATGCCGCAAAAGCTGTCGATAGAGCTTATATTGAACCTGGATCGAAAAGTTATATAATTATACAAACACCAGAAACTTTGCCTACATGCAACAAAAACCTGAATTGATATGTATATCAAACATATAGAAAACTAATTGCCTTTTTCCACTTTTGTTGCCATTGGCTTTTGACTTGTTTTGTTGGGGACATTAACATTTAATTTAAAATTAAAAACTAAAAGTTGTTTTTTAAAAACAAAAATGAAACATCACTGAACTTAAAGGAGTAGTTCAATTTTAAAGGTGCAATGTGTAAAAAAGTTGAGTATCTATTAACAGAAATGCAATATGACATTCATAACTATGTTTTCAGTGGTGTATAAAGAACTTACTTAATTAACCGTAATGTTTTTATTACCTTAGAATGAGACATTTATAGCTCCATAACCGCGGGAATCCCCTTCTCTGAAGGTCGCCATGTTGTGACGTCATATTTCTACCGTAGCCGAACGCGAACAAACAGCGCTACAGAACGCGTTTCATCACTACCTTGAAAGAGAAGTAGCGGAAAGCTGGAAGCTAGCCTTACACTTCGTGAGTAGTGACTTTTCCCTTGTGAGTGATGTAAAATATGTAGTTGGGATTGTTTTATGTAACTTAGTTCTCCCTCGCTGTGTTATGGGTTTGTTATGTGGGGATAGATGTGCTGTAACGTTCGTGAGACAGCTGATGATTAGTACTCATGTCATTGACTGTAAAACAGTATGTTACAGGAATCACTAACCCATCGATAGAGACTTTTAGATCACTAAAGTCGATCGCGAAGAGTTTTCAAAATCAGAGAAAAAAGCCTAGTAGTAAATAGTATCTATGGGATGCGGAGATTACGGACGTGCGCGCGTCAAAAATGACATGATTGTAACAGCGCGCGCACCTCCGACCTTTGGACTCATGCGTACGCGTCCTAGCTCAGCCACAGTAACAGCTCATATTAGCCAGCTAAACTATATATAAAAAATATATATATAGCTGCTCCCTCGCTGTATTATGGGTTTGCTATGTGGGGAGAAATGTGCTGCTGGTTACGTTTGTGAGACAATCAGCTGATTACTATTATTATATTAAATTATATATTAAAACCCTTGATCCTCACCTGACTATGGCTTTGTAAACTTTATCCATGATGTGGTATAATGGACTGTGGTACAGAAAAAGTGACAATGTTACACACTCTTGGCTTACTCTGGCTATTCTCTGCTGTCTGAGCCGACGAGATGTTTGTCACGTTTTAGCAGCCGTAGCTTCTTCGAAAGGGAGGGGTGAGCAGTGGGCTGAGCCCTTAGTGCAAACCTGGTGCAAACTCGCAACCGAACCGCTAGATGTCGCTAAAAATCCCACATTGCACCTTTAAAAAAAATCTTTTACTGATAATTTACACACCCCCATGTCATCCAAGATGTCCATGTCTTTCTTTCTTCAGTTGAAGAGAAATAAAGGTTTTTGATGAAAACATTCCAGGATTTTCTCCATATAATGGACTTCAATGGGAAGCAAACGGTTCAAGGTCCAAATGAGAGTTTCAGTGCAGCTTCAAAGGGCTTTAAATGACACCAGACGATGAATAAGGGTCTTATCTAGGACCCTTCGAGTCATGACTTGAAAAAAGATTTGTTTATTTTGATGAACGAGTTAGAACAGGAGTCACAAACGCTCATCACAGAACAGAGCAAGGTGAGCATTTGTGCTTATAAAACTTAAACTTTTTTATTTATTTTTTAAATGATCGATCATTTCGCTAGATAAGACCCTTATTCATCGTCTGGTGTCGTTTAAAGCCCTTTGAAGCTACACTGAAACTCTCATTTGGACCTTGAGCCTTTTGGTTCCCATTGAAGTCCATTATATGGAGAAAATCCTGGCATGTGTTCATCAAAAACGTCTCGGTTACGGATGTAACCCTCGTTCCCTGAGTAGGGAACGGAGACGTTACGTCAGAAGTGACAGAGAATGGGGGTTTCGCATAGAAAGCCAATTCTCTTCGAGTATTTAAAAACGAGCCAATGGCATGAAAATGCCTTGGGGCTGCGGAATTTGCATAGCGTATCTCCGCCCCACGGAGTGGGTATAAAAGGTGGAAGTGAACGCAACCGCAGTATGTCTTCGCTGAGGAGCCAAGGCTGAACTCCGGCGTCTACCCAGCGATACAGCAGAAGTGGCAGGGAGACGTAACGTCTCCGTTTCCTACTCAGGGAACGAGGGTTACATCCGTAACCGAGACGTTCCCTTTCGTAGTCACTTCGAGTTACGTCAGAAGTGACGGTGAATGGGGGTCAGTGCCATCACGCCATCTTCAAGCTGTCTTCCAGTGCCCTGCAAAAGTATGGACCCCTGAACCCTTTTCTTTTTTTACAGGGATCCCACTTTGACACAGGAATACCAAGGTACACTGGGAAACATATCCCGGGAGGGACATGCTACCAGATGCCTACCGAAGGAGGACTTACAAATACGCATATGGCCGCATAGGAACGCATATGGAGATACTGGAGCACCAACCGCAGGTGGCTACTAGAATTTAACTCCAGGGGTGGCAGATGGTTTGCCAAGGGAAGACACATGCTCAGAGAGGCTTACAGTGGATAATACACATGAGACAGTTACCATAGGGAACCGTGCACATGGAGGCACCTAGCTGGAGGACTCAAGGCTTCAACGGAAGACACTGAGGAAATATCGCACTTATCCAATCCGAGGAGTGGAATGGCGAGCAAGCGAAGACACCTAAGCGGGTCCAGTACTGGCGTAAGCGAGTACGTGAGAGGACACCGGCTCAATTCGCAGATTATAAATCTCGAGAAGGTGTTTGGTGTCGCCCAGCCTGCAGCTCTGCAATTGTCTGTTAGCGAGGCGCCGTGCACTAGAGCCCAAGAGGAGGCCACACCCCGAGTGGAATGGGCCGTCACACCAAGGGGGCACGGACGGCCTTGCTGCTGGTAAGACAAAGCAATGGCGTCCACTAACCAGTGAGACAGCCGTTGCTTTGAGAGAGCCCTTCCCTTCTGGCTCCCCCCCATGACAGACAAGAGCTGGTCTGAGGTCCTGAACACCGCGTTCTGTCGACATAGGTGCGGAGTGCACGTACTGGACAGAGCAGTGCAAGGCTGAGACTGCCTCCTCCAGGGGCAACGCTTGCAGGTTCACCACCTGGTCCCGGAAGGGAGTGGTAGGAACCTTGGGCATATATCCAGGCCGGGGTCTCAAGAACACGTAAGAGTAAGCCGGCCCGAACTCCAGGCACGCTTCGTCAACGGAGAGTGCGTGCAGGTCCCTTACCCTCCTGATGGAGGCCAATGCAATCAGGAGTGCTGTCTACATAGGACAGGGCTAAAACTACCAACTGCAACGCCTCTGCAGAGCACTTAGATCTACTGAGAGGTCCCCAGAGGGCACGAGGGGAGGGAGGCGGTTTTAGCCTCCTCGCTCCCCTCAGGAACCTGATGACCAAGTCATGCTTCCCATAGACTTACCTTTCACTGCATCATGAGACGCGGCAATGGCCGCGACATGAACCCTAAGGGCAACAGCCTACGCTCCAACCCTTCTTGCAGGAAGGAAAGCACGACCCCGATCGAACATCTCCGGGGGTCTTCTCCGTGAGAAGAGCACCAGTTGACAAAGAGGTTCCACTTCAACGCGTACAGGTGTCTCGTGGACGACGCTCTAGCGGAAGTGATGGTTGCCGCCACCGCAGGTGGCAGCGAACTCAAATCTGCCCCGTCCCGTCCCGGAGCCACACGTGTAGCCTCCAAGATCGGGACGAGGGTGCCACAGAGTGCCCCGTCTCTGAGTGAATAGATCTAGTCTCAGAGGAATAGGCCAAGGAGGTGCTGTCGCGAGGAGGATAAATACTCGAAGAGGATTGGCTTTCTATGCGAAACCCCCATTCTCCGTCACTTCTGACGTAACTCGAAGTGACCACGAAAGGGAACCTTAATTTCTTTTCGACTGAAGAAAGAAAGACGTCGTGGACATCTTGGATGACATGGGGGTGAGTAAATTATCAGCAAAAGTTTTTTTTAAAAGTGAACTCCTTTAAGCTGGACTGTGATGCTATTTTCTTTTGGAAACAAATTTTGTTGCATGATTTTCTTATCACTGCAAAGCTGCTTTGAAACAATCTTTATTGTAAAAAGCGCTATATAATTAAATGTGACTTGTCATACACTAATGTTTGATATCATTTGAAATGTCTCAGTGTGACTGGTACAATGGTTTCATCCACACTATAACAGTATACTTTCATAACAAAAAGGTTATGTTGGTCAACCTTTTTGAATATTATTACCACTCTGCTCATCAGACTGGTGAGTTTATGACAGATATTTCAAACTTAAAGAATTAGTGAAGGAAAATTCTGTCATCATTTGCTCACCCTCAAGTTGCTTCGAGCCCGTGTGAATTTCTTTCGTCTGCTGAACACAAAAGAAGATATTTTGAAGAATGATGGTAAACAAACAGTTAATGGACCCCATTGAAAAAATACTATGGAAGTCAATGGGGCTTAACTGTTTGGTTACCGTAATTCTTCAAAATATCTTCTTTTGTGTTCAGCAGAAGAAAGAAACTCACACGGGTTCGAAGCAACTTGAGGGCGAGTAATTGATGAGAAGTGAACTATTCCTTTAATTTAAGCTCTTTTAAAAATTTGATTCAGATGAAATAACAAAATCTGTTTTCTTTTGTTACTTCTGTTCTAATTTAATTAGAGCCAAACTGAAAAAAGGGTTTTGCATAGAAGTACTAAAGCTGATGTAGTATTTCCATTGCTCAGTAAATTCACAATAACATATATATTAGATATATGGCAGTGGATGAACTTAAGTCTGTTCATCGATTTAAATAAACACTTCTTTACACTACTCCAAAATTATCATTAGTGATAAACCAGTGTGGATTCCAAAACCATTGGCATTTACGATGTATTTAATGCATAACATCTGATCAGAACGACTGCATACAGTATATCGCACTCTAGACCATTTAAAATAAGATTAATGCTACAGTCACATACATGAAGCAAAGAGAACTCTTCAAATGGTGACAAACAACACAAATGACAATAAATAAGCCAATGAAGATGACCAGAGGAAATATAGCACCATGATTTTTTAAGTGTAAATGAACATTCTCCACAGAACGAAGTGTAAAAGCGAACTTTTTTCTAGAAGCTGAGCGCATGTTTATATAGGAGTGCAATATTAAAGTGAATTCCTGTCAACAAAATACTCAAATAGTATATTTAAATGTAGTTATGGACATATGTGGCCGTGAGATCCAGTTTCATAAATTAAAAATATTGCAATAAACATGGCTCTAGGGAAGTAAAGCTTGTTAAATCCAACTGACCCACAAAGTAAAAAAATAAAAACATTGTTTTTGGTGAAGGACATTCCATTAATTCCTCTGGGCTATTTTATTAATTTGGAATAAATATTTGCATTGATTTGAATTATTCAACTATTAATTCTGACCGCTTTTAAAACTGTTTAAGCAGAAACATGTTACTTACATTTACCGTTATTGGTTGTTCTATTATAGTCCGTTGGCTACAAATGACATAATCATCCAGTTTCATTAATTGCAAGAATTTGAGTTCTCACAAACCGCTTCTGAATATCATGTACAAAATACACACACACACACAAAAAAAAAAATTCTAAAGATGGATTTGCAGTGTGAATATCAAAACATGTGCAAGAAATCTATTTGAACCTACACATGACAAGAGCCTCTTTTAATACCTCTTTTACAAAGAGAAATGCCCACGTCAATAACATGCCCTCTAATCATTTTTAATTTCCAAAAGATATAAATTATATTTTGATCTAAGAAAACAAAGCCCATTTTAGAGCTGTAACATTTTCAAAAATTCTTATTACATTAAAGTGAACATGTGTACATAGAAATGTATTTGTATTTTACGGTTGTATTAATTTTTTTTTTTTTTCTTGTCTTCATCTTTATTTCTGGCAGTTGTAGTTTTAAATCAATTATTGTGTTCAGACTGGGTGATATTTTTCCTCAATGTATTACAGTAATCTATGATAAATTAATGAGAATGACTAAAACATTAGATACCTTTAGGTATGAAGCTAAATAATGGTCCCAAAAATGGGCTTCATTTCCTTTACACTATTAAAAAACACCAACAAAAAACAAAACAATGAAAAGTAAACAGATTCACTCAGTTAATAGAAAATACAACTAACAAACCAATTTTCTGGATGCTTTACAAACACAAAGCTTAGAAGGAGTGATTCCATTGGCTTATTTATTTTGACTACATTTGTGGGGAGCTCGCAGTGTGCCTCCGCTAACACAAACCAGCTGAGCAGTGAAACATTAGTATATAATGTAAACCAAAACGCAACTTGATTTGCCTGGAGACATACTGGCCCCGCCCTAAACACAAGAGACCACGCCCACCAGCATTCATCCTCATGTGGTACGTATAATGGCTTATACAGCATATTCACCCATTGTCAAATGTCTCAATAAAAAATATAAATATCTTGTTGATAAAAAAATATCAGAAAAATTCCATTACATATAGAATATACATTTCTCTGTAAAATGGTTTCTTGAAAAAGGAGCATTAATCAGCTGTGGTTGGGTTTGGAGGGTGGTGTTTTTGGAGCAGCTCAGCTTTGGGTATAGGGTGGATAGGCTGAGAGGTGTCACAGCCCTGACCCATCTCCACAGTTTAAGATTTTGGCCTGACCTTTGGTCTTTTTCAGTCTTCTTTTACCCTGGAAGGGTCCGTCTCAACCTGGGCCAGTGACTCTGATTCTGTCCGGCACTTTTTTGTTGGTCTGTCTAGGCTCTGGCAGTCATGTTGGTGATTCACTGAGCCATTTCTGTCCGAGTTATAAGTGTCTGTGAGGTTACAGCCGTTGGAGTCCAGATGATCTGCGAGTAGACTGTGTTTAGATGCTCCGTTTGACTGAACAGATTCACTCTTCGGCTCATTTACACTACTCATCAACATCTGTGTGGCGACTGCACTGGAGCTGTGACTGGTGAGTCCTGAATTGAGAACCACAGAGACGGGCTTTAACGCATAGTTGTAACAAACGATTCAAACACACCACATACAAATTTATTCCAACCTGATTTCTACAAAATATCCTGAAAGAGGCACCAAAGCTTTTCAATTAAGTGTGTAAAAAAAACACTACCGTACCGTTGTGACCGCTAGTCTCCTCTCGCTCTGATTGGCTGGTGCTGCTGCTGGAGGCAGCAGGAAGAGGTGTTGCTGCTCGACTGGAGGCAGTGCTTTCCGTTTCATCTAGAAGTCTGTCCATGTAATCCCTACCCCCAAAAAACACAAACACACCTTATTTTGAGAAACAACAGACACAAAAATGACTCTTACTTTCAAGAGTGTTAAATCTTGGGTTCACTCTTTACAAAAACCATTCACAGTTCAGAATTAAATTGATAGGATTGCATTATATATTATATAAATTATATTAGTTTGAACTACCAGCAATTTTTTCCCCCAGCAATGAATATTTAGAGCTCTAGTCACAGAACAAACAATTAAGTTTGATTTATTGTATTTGTAACACCATTTCCCAGAATTACTTTAGTAAACCTTTAGGGGGAAAAAATCTAATTAAAAGGAAATTGCTTTACATTGATATAGTAATCCAAATAAATTAATCTAAACCACATTTATAATGGGTAACTTTTAACAGTGAGCAATTACATTTTCAAAGTAACCTTCTAACCCTGACTGTAGCGGAGCGCGGGGTACAACATAACGCGGGGCTCGTGGTAACACAACTTGTTTTAAATACTTCCACACATGCCAGCATGACGACACTTGGTGTATTTACTAGTTGCCATTTAAACACTATAGAACAAATTGCGCCAAAATTCAGAAATCTTTGCAAGATATCATTGAACATTTATTTAACCATAGCAAAAGTACATTTCTTACTTGAGTTAATTTTTCATCTCTATTTTTGTGTTTATTTAAAATTAGACAATTCAATATTATTTCAATCTCCAATCTGTTGTTTAATTGTTGATATAGTTCTTTAATGCATCGCTAACTAGCAGAAGACGCTAGCAGGGTTTAAACCCCAGTTGTGCAGATGGGGCATCACACTGCGTTACAATGTTCCCCTATTAGAAATATGCTATTATATTCTATACTTTTATGAATTCTATTGAGAAAGCATGAGAAACATGTAAATAAAGACTAAGAGTCAATGTTCAGAAATGGTTAATTATTATTTTGTTTCGAACTATGCTGTATAGCTGTGTTTTCCAGTGTGTTTGTTTTAAATTATTAAAAATGCCATTATTTTATATGAAAAAGTTAATAATTGTATTTTATCAAGAAAAATATTTTGGTTTGACTTGTATATTTTTTTATTAGATAAGATAGCATTTTAAGCTGTCATATAGTTTGTTAAAATGTGCCCCTCACATGTTACAATGTACCCCACCTATGGCACATGTTGTCACATTTCAACATTTCTTTCAGGGTAAATCAAGAAAAAAGTATACACTGTATTAATAAAACAAAACCACATAATTGTACGAGATACGTGGGAAATTAATGTGGGAAAAAAATACTCTAAATAGATTTGCCACAAACTGAGAAAGTCCCCTGTGAGATTCAATGTCAGTTAACACAACGTTAACACAGACATAACACAGCGTTCAGTCAGTTCGTGAGTGTGCGTGGTGGTCGATATAAAGAAAAAAAATATCTTCGTGATTAGGGACACGGTGTAACTACTAGCAGGGCTGCCCTTAAGCCACGTCATATCACAACTATCTTTCCAGAGTTAATTTTAGGTTTTAATAAAATTATCATGCCATGAAAGAAAGCAGGAGATGCGTTTGTGGGAATAATCTGGAAAATAAAGACCTATAGGCTTAAGCCTAATTATTAAGTTAGAGCTCTGAGGAAATGCTGATGCAAAACAGTCCCCAAAACTGTCATTTAGGCCCATATGAAGTTGTAATCCTGTTGCCTTAATTGTGGGTTTTTTCTTAGAAAAAATAATTTATTCTTGGCTCATTGTTTCTAATGCAGATAATTATTCTACTCTGTATTACAGTATTTACTGCTGTAAAAAAAACAAAAAAAAAAAAAAAACGATGCAGCAATTTTATTTTATGTAAGACAACATGTTTTCAAAAAAGGAGCTTTACAACCTTACTAGAGCTAATGATAATATTAGTAAATTTTAGCACGTTTTAAGCCCCTTTGTCAACTTTAATCATCTAAACGTAATTTTCCAACAACAAAAATGTGGCTAGTAAAAGTGCTGCATGGCTAGTAATTTTGGAAAACCACTAGCCAAATTGGTTAGTGAGCAAAAAAGTTAATGTCAAGCCCTGCTTGCATGTACAGTATACACTCACCTAAAAGATTATTAGGAACACCATACAAATACTGTGTTTGACACCCTTTCACCTTCAGAACTGCCTTAATTCTATGTGGCATTGATTCAACAAGGTGCTGAGAGCATTCTTTAGAAATGTTGGCCCATATTGATAGGATAGCATCTTGCAGTTGATGGAGATTTGTGGGTAGCTGTTATACATTAAAACGTTAACAATTCTGTTTCGCGACACATGCTCATTATTAACAGCAGTTTTTAAGTATCTTGTAACGTTAGTTCACACTGAAAACAAATCCAGTCTTTTGTAGATTGAGGTGGGGAAGCGCTTGAAAACTATGTATTAGCCCTATGTTTAACGTTAAGTGTGAATTACATAATCTGTACGTTGCTTGTTCTTAACACTGAATATCATGTCGTCATATTTGTGTCAAGTTTTTGTTTTATGACAGTTAATTTCAAACATTGTGCTTAAAGCTAATCTATAAATCCATCTGTCTTCTAGTTCAGTTTACATTTGCGTGAGCATACAGGTACTTTAGCTTGTAATCAGTCTTTATCAATTCATACTGCATGTTATTATAAATGATGTACTATTTATCTGTCTGCATTTTATTAATATGAATCTGTATTTTCTGTTCACATTATAAATACCATTAATAAATAATGGGTAAAACAAATTCTAAATGTGTCTTAAAATCTTTGAAACCTGTAGACCTTTGTACACCAGGTTCAATTTAAGGTGCCTTATTACTCACTTTACTCTTTTACAAACCCAATTCCATAAAAGTTGGGACACTGTACAAATTGTGAATAAAAACAGAATACAATGATGTGGAAGTTTCAAATTTCAATATTATATTTAGAATACAACATAGATGACATATCAAATGTTGAAAGTGAGACATTTTGAATTGCCATGCCAAATATTGGCTCCTTTTGGATTTCATGAGAGCTACAAATTCCAAAAAAGTTGGGACAGGTAGCAATAAGAGGCCAGAAAAGTTAAATGTACATATAAGGAATAGCTGGAGGACCAATTTGCAACTTATTAGGTCAATTGGCAACATGATTGGGTATAAAAAGAGCCTCTCAGAGTGGCAAGTGTCTCTCAGAAGTCAAGATGGGCAGAGGATCACCAATTCCCCCAATGCTGAGGCAAAAAATAGTGGAGCAATATCAGAAAGGAGTTTCTCAGAGAAAAATTGCAAAGAGTTTGAAGTTATCATCATCTACAGTGCATAATATCATCCAAAGATTCAGAGAATCTGGAACAATCTCTGTGCATAAGGGTCAAGGCCGGAAAACCATACTGAATGCCCGTGATCTTCGGGCCCTTAGACGGCACTGCATCACACACAGGAATGCTACTGTAATGGAAATCACAACATGGGCTCAAGAATACTTCCAGAAAACATTATCAGTGAACACAATCCACCGTGCCATTCACCGTTGCCGGCTAAAACTCTATAGGTCAAAAAAGAAGCCATATCTAAACGGGAACCAGAAGCGCAGGCGTTTTCTCTGGGCCAAGGCTTATTTAAAGTGGACTCTAGCAAAGTGGAAAACTGTTCTGTGGTCAGACGAATCAAAACTTTAAGTTCTTTTTGGAAAACTGGGACGCCATGTCATCCGGACTAAAGAGGACAAGGACAACCCAAGTTGTTATCAGCGCTCAGTTCAGAAGCCTGCATCTCTGATGGTATGGGGTTGCATGAGTGCGTGTGGCATGGGCAGCTTACACATCTGAAAAGGCACCATCAATGCTGAAAGGTATATCCAAGTTCTAGAACAACATATGCTCCCATCCAGACATCGTCTCTTTCAGGGAAGACCTTGTATCTTCCAACAAGACAATGCCAAACCACATACTGCATCAATTACAACATCATGGCTGCGTAGAAGAAGGATCCGGGTACTGAAATGGCCAGCCTGCAGTCCAGATCTTTCACCCATAGAAAACATTTGGCGCATCATAAAGAGGAAGATGCAACAAAGAAGACCTAAGACAGTTGAGCAGCTAGAAGCCTTTATTAGACAAGAATAGGACAACATTCCTATTCCTAAACTTGAGCAACTTGTCTCCTCAGTCCCCAGACGTTTGCAGACTGTTATTAAAAGAAGAGGGGATGCCACACAGTGGTAAAAATGGCCTTGTCCCAACTTTTTTGAGATATGTTGATGCCATGAAATTTAAAATCAACTTATTTTTCCCTTAAAATTATGCATTTTCTCAGTTTAAACATTTGATATGTCATCTATGTTGTATTCTAAATATAATATTGAAATTTGAAACTTCCACATCATTGCATTCTGTTTTTATTCACAATTTGTACAGTGTCCCAACTTTTATGGAATTGGGTTTGTAAATAAAATTATATAAAATGTATTTAATCAGATTAAATGTATATTTATACTGTTTCAGGCCTCCAGGTGAACATTGCACAAGGTTTTGTGGATATTAACTTGTAATATTAATTTAATTAATCCTAAAATGAAGGATGTGAATATTAATAATTTTACAATTTGACACCCATGCTTTATAGTCAGCTCTCAGCTTAATCAAATTTAATGGTCATCTCAATTATTTTGACTATATTTACAGCCCTTAACCATTTAAATTGTATTGCATTACTGAATTTTGGCCTCAACTGACAAATATTTTTTTCAAATCATTTTCAAATCACATCCCGCTGCCCTGTATCTTGCTCTCTCATTGGTCATCCCCGATGTAGGTTTCAGTCAGAAAAACATTCACACACCAGGATTTTGAATCTGCGATTCTCTCAGATTGCGTCTTTGATCACTCACACTGTGTGATTGTCACTCACGTGAACGAGCACCGATTTGCCTATGATTTGGGGCATTTGTCTGTGATCTCGCAAAACCTGTTGGTGAGCGAAAATCAGGCCTAAAATTGTTCAGTGTGAACGATTGCGTAACTGTTTCTCTACTCAAGATGCCTTCTTTCTTCCGATCTCTGGTTTCCTTTGTCTTCAAGGTACTGGAAAAAGTTGTGTTGTGCCAACAAAAGGTTAAGCCTTTCCAGTATCACAGCATTGAATCTGCTCTGTTGGGAGTCTTAAATGATATTTTTGTTACTACTGATGTTGGTGACTGTGATTTTAGTTCTCTTGGACATATCTGCAGCCTTCGATACTGTCGATCACACATTGCTCCCATCTAGACTAGAATCCGCATGTGGGGCTAAAAGATTCAGTTCTTAATTGGTTTATCAATAGAATGAACTCTTAATACTTCCTCACAGGTTCACGTTTTTAAAGTTAGTGTAGAGAGAACTTAAGAGTTTTCCGTTAAACCGGTGTCGTGTTAACGGCCCCAAAGTTAATAACTAATGATCGTTGTGACGGAAGTGAATCAATCAAAGCTAACTTTAATTGGAAAATAACATTGATAAAATGCGTTGATTATCTGAAAACACCGGCAAACGTGTGTTAGAGTTCATGTTAGCGATCTCCACCGTGATATTTTGCTCAAATGAAAGTGTAATACAGCCAGTCTGTCTTCTTCACAAGGTTGTTTGCACTGCTTGCCAGTTGGTATGGCTCCATCATACCTCACGGACCTATTGACTGTTCATCAACCACCTAGAGCTTTTAGGTCTGTGAACCTAGGCCTTCTGGTGGCTCCGAGAACAAAACTTAAGACTAGAGAAGACAGGGCTTTCTCTAGTGCCGCTCCAAGACTCTGGAACAGCCTATCACCAGGACACCTAACCCCAGCTGCTCCCGACGAGCTGGATGGCGCCTTGCATGGCTGACACCGCCGTCGGTGTATGAATGTGTGTGTGAATGGGTGAATGTGAGGCAATATGTAAAGCGCTTTGGTGGCCATTAGGTCTATGAAAGCGCTATATAAATGCAGTCCATTTACCAAGACTGGAAAAATGTGTTAGAGATACTTACGTTACTCCTGGATGAAGGTTGTATTTCCTTTTCCCAAGCCTAGTTTGTTGCGCAAAGAAATCATACCGCTCTGACTTCTTCCACATGTAATAAAAAGCCACACAATCTCCGACAGACCGAGTTCTGACCTGAAATTGGATAAGGTTTGCTAAACACAAGGTTTAAATTGCCACACCTAGTGGCCTATATACTTATTTAGCAAAGATAATGGCTAGACACATTTAAGAGCCCCACAGGTATTATATTTTTAGTTTTTTAACATTCATAAGCATTGAAATGTCAATATGGGAATCTGAAGGTGGCCAATATGGATTGACATTCCTTAAGTGCAAATTAACTGATTTGCAGATTGGAACAAACTTGTTATTATGAATGCCATAAAATGAGCACTACCTTGTTGGCCTGGATAAAATGAAAGTCTTTTCCGTAAGCTTTTAATCCTTGTTCAAAATTCCTGCATTCTTCCTCTGACCAAACAGATAGTTCCTCTGTAAGAAAGATTTAAACAAAGCAATACATGTAAGATTCAGGCAGTCATTGGATTAAACCTTTAATTGTGAATGATTTTTTTGTTTTGTATGGAACATATTCAGATTCTTTTAAAAGAAAATACATATTTTATACTTATACATAATTTGTGTGCATTTCAAAATTCTGAGATTGAAATAATTCATTACAGAATGAATCGATTAAAATAAAATTTAAAAAATACAGTTTATTAATATTACATATTGAATTTTTTGCATGACAGTCCTTATAACAGCACAGTCCTCATACACCTTAATTAAATCAGTGACTATTTCAGTGATCTTTCAACAAATATCCACATAAATCAAGTTTATACTGCTAATCAAACGCAAACGCAAGCTTTGTGTTTGCTTGAGCTCGGCATAGGCATATATTTCGGCCCCCGCATATTTAAATAATTAAATTAATATAAATGTTCGATTAGTCGACAAATGGCTTAAATGAACGACTACTAGTTGACTAGAAAAATCTTTAGTTGGGGGAGCCCTAGTTAAATCTGATTTTGTTGCATAGAACTGAATGAAGAATAACATATTTACAGTTTGATATTAACCTATTGATATTTAGTATTATTTTAATATATTTTCAGTCCAATTTTGTTGTGTTACTTTAAATAAAAGTGTGGTTATTTTATTTCATTGGGTTGTACTTTTTAAATTCCGATTCAGTCAAATTATGGAATTTAATTTTTATTAAAAGTCTAATAATAATACTACAATCATACAAAAAAAGTAATTTAAAATGAGAAATTAATAATTATTTTTTTTAAAAAGTCATTTTAGCTTCAGTTTTTGGCCAAGTGCGCCCAGAATTTTCATATCCGTGCATCCCTACCAGAAATCATTTTCTAGAGCCACAGCGGTTAAGCACCATAAACATTGTCAGCGTGAACGGAAAGCACAAATCAAGTCTGTTGAAATGCAGAACATTTTGTACTGCTTTAAACATCAGATGAAAGACAAAGATTGCATTTAACAGCTTTGTAAGGCTCACCTCTGGCTGCTTTAACGTTAAATCTTAATCTTCGTAAAGCTTCGTCTGTATCAAAATTACATTTCACCAGCTCATATAATGCCTGAGGGGAGAAAACACTATTTGTATTGTGTATCACGTCACAGTTCAGCATTTGATTACAAATAAAATAATTACATTATTATCATTATAATTATTAAATCACAGAGGCGGTCCTTAGTACCTGCTCATTATCTTTGATGTGGGATCCTTCTGGAATAGCATCTACACCCGTCTCCTCTCCCGTCCGTCGACAGGCTTCCGTGAGAAACTCAACCACAGTGTTTTCAGGAAGAATTTCAGGATTCCACAGCAGCTGGTCGTCATTTTCATACACTTTGAATGATAAAGATGTCAAAGATTCAAAGCATATCTCAAGAACATATTAATGTATCCAAAATGCTAACTATTTCCAATTGTCTTGTAATAAAAAGAATGAGTTAAAAAATGACATGATTGGTTCAGTGAACATTTTTATAACATGGTCTGTCCGAGTACTTCATTCTGATTGGCTTGAAGGTGTGCATTAAATACACATTAAAACAATATTAATGCGCTTTGTTTAAGCACACACAAATACATCACTCACACAGAGATTGGAGATCGCACTGCGCACTATTTTAAGGATCTAAGCACATTGGTCTAAAGCACACTGCGCAAGTGCACTTAGGTCGTGTCCGAATCCACTTTTTCTAGTTCAACGACGGGAAAAATGGTAGACGCGCTCGGCGCATTGTCTGCAAGGGTTGTCTCTATTCTCTTAATGAGTAATGGGTGTGTTTTTGGCGTAACGTGCGCGTTTTTGCCGTAACGTGCAATAAGCCAATCAGAGTCTCATCTACCATTCTCTTTAAAAGCCTGTTGTGCTTGCGCCATGGCGGATTCGCTTTACATGGCCGAATTTGCAACCGGAAAAACTGAACGCTTCTGTAGCGATGAAAGGATCTGCTCATGCGCGAGGTTAAAGCGCGCGAGCAGAACATTACTAACGCTCTCTTTAAATAAAATAAAAAATACTTCTAAATACTTGACTTTAGACAAGGTTTTTGTTGGTCAATGGCACAGTGTAATTCAGTTGCCTTAAAATAGCAATGGACAAACAATGCTCCTGAACACTTCTCGTTTTCAGACCAGGGCACAAATGGGCGCAAATGCATTTGCTATTTAAACAATGTGGCGCAGGACATGAAAACTGAGTCAGGCTGAAACAAGCAAAAAACACCTGCGCCACGCCTGCCACTGCATTAATTTATTTTCAATATATTTGATTAGCTACTGAATTGCTAAATCGTATTACTCAGCAAGCAGATTGTAAATGGTTTTTAAAGTAATTAAACTCAAAGGTTATTCACACATTCATCTCTCTCCCTCTCTTCATAGGATAATTCATTCAAATAAATGTTATAATTCAATTAAATAAATGTAACCTTACCTCACTACTTCATCTCTGTTTCTGATTTAAAACAGACAGAAAGAATGCTAGATCTAACAAGTGGTAGCAGACAAAAATAACCACCATTTTAATCCTTCCAGTCAAATTCAGTGATGCAAACATCAATGGAACCTGTAATTTGTCAATGGAAAATGACAATGGTATAAGTGGCATAATCCACGCCTAGCTGTGCTTTAAATGATTTGAATGTGCTCCGCTTTGCACGGTTCTTTGCCTCCACATTGTTGTCAGTGTTTCCTACAGGATTCATTCAATATTTGGTCCCAACTATTTTTGTAACCCAATTTAATATTTTTTATGTTAATAATTTAAAAAGCAAACATTTGCATAACATGAAATTGCACGTTGTCATGTGAATAAGTCACACATAACAGTTCACAGATATTTTGGAGCAATGATTTTTAATAGACGGTTTCTCACTAACAACTCCTGAAACGTTTCTTTTGTTGTGGTGCAGTACTGTATAATCCTGCCAAACCCATTTTTAATTTTAATATATCAGCATATGTGAAATCTACCTTTCTCACAGTCTTTGTATTTGCACAGTCCAGATGGTGTTTCTGCCTGATACATGGAACCAACCATGATTTCCTGTTAAGAACATATACATTTATCAAATAGTTTCATGGTAAATTACAGACAAAAGCCATAAAGAAAAATATGATAATGAAAGTATTTACTTTCTTCCAGTCTTCAGATGGAATATAGTCATCATCCTCCTCTGACTCTTCATCACCTTCATTATCTAAAAATGTTACGTAAAAACAGTACTTAAGCATAATTCAAAGATAATGTTGATAAACATCAAATCAAATGAGAAGCTTATCTGTCTCTTACTCTGAAAGTAGCCACGGTTCTGTGATCGTATGAGTTCAGCTGTGTTACAGGCTTTTACTGCACAAGCTCGACTCTCAGTGTGGCTCTCATTAGTCATTCTTGTGGATACATTTGCTCCATCCTCCTGAAAAAATCATTAAAACCATAAAAGATAAATGGACTAAAAATGTCGACAAATTATTCTAAATGCTATCCATAATTTTGACACACACATATATATATATATATATATATATATATATATATATATAAAATCTGGTCTATTGAGAGTCCTTACTTTAGAAATGTCCAGTGAAGGATGGGTATGGCTTTATAACACTTTTTCATGTTAGATACCGATACCATAGCCTTGATTAGCTGCTGATACCGATACACCAGTACTGGTTTATTTTTCATGATCAGTTTAGATACTACACTCTGCTTCATTGTTAATGACGAGAAAAAAGAAAAATAATTGTTCACACCAAGAATGATATCTATAAAAATAACTACAGTATAATGATAAATACATTAGTGTCCACACCAACTCACAATAACGTTCTGTTTATTCTTAACTGTGCACAGCAGTTATATAATAACTTTACATGCTTGAGCTCAAGGCAGATTAAAATTTTTATAGTTGTTTTTGTATTGTACGCGCACTACCAGAGTTCACAGTGAATGTTTGCTTTATTTATGAAGAAACACCCCAACACTGAACCGCTTTTTAACAAGCAACCCTGAAAATCACTTGTGCTGAAATCGACTAATCAGCACTCAATTACAGGGTTAGTTCACCCCAAAAAATTAAATTCGGTCAGTAATTACTCACCCTCATGTTGTTCCAACCCCCTAAGACTTCGGAACACAAATTAAGATATTTTTGATTAAATCTGAGAACTGTCTCACTCCTCCATAGGCTTCTTAAGGGATCAAAACTGGCCGGCCCAAAAGTAATGAAAGAGGTTGTACATCACACGCATCACACACATGACCAGCGTCGGTCAATAGTGAACCTACATGTGACGTGCAACCTAGAAGCTTTACGTAGTTTCACAACGTGAAATCTCAAGGCCCACAGAGAAGGAATAAAGTTGAATAAAGTCGTTATTTTTGTTAGTTTTTTTGTGTACAAAAAGTATTCTCGACGCTTGATAAACTTAAGATTAAAGCCACTGTATAGTAACACCCCATTGTAATCACTCAGACTATTTTAACAATGTCTTTCATAACTTTTGGGCCAGCCAGTTTCGATCCCTTATGGAGGACGCAGCTCTCAGATTTAATCAAAAATATCTTAATTTCTGTTCCGAAGATGAATGAAAGTCTTACAGGGTTGGAACAACATCAGGGTGACTAATTACTGACAGGATTTTCTTTTTTGGTCGAACTAATCCTTTAACATAACCATTTAACCATTAACATACCTAATTCCAAGTATAGATCAATAAAGTAATGAATGGACCACAACATGCATACACTGCCTGTTTTTTTCACATCTGTGAAATGAGAAAAATCAACTGAACAGTCTGCTTTTTAACACTTTATCATGTTCAATACCGATACTTTTGAAGACATTTTTTTTTTAAATATCCAGTTAAACTAGGGTTGGATAAAAGCAATGCAAGTTCCATGTTTAAAAATCTGGTAGTGATCACAAGACATTTTAGTCTTCTGCGAGGAACTGTCAGTAAGTTAAGGTTACCAAATCTTCTTCACTCTTAATCAACCATCAGAGTACTCAGGTCTTGGCCCTAAACTCTTAGAATTTCTTCCTTACCATGTGAAATCAGCACCATCAATAGTCCTTTTTTTGACAATATGTTAAAAGATGAAAAAAAAGATAAAAGATGACGGTAGAAACATGACGTCACAATATGTCGACCTTGATAGAAGGGGGTGCCCGCGGTTATGAAGATATAAATGTCTCATTCTAAGGTAATAAAAACATTACTGTTTATTAAGTAAGTTCTTTATACACCACTGAAAACATATGTCATATTGCATTTCTGTTAATAGATATTTAAAAGTTTTACACATTGCACCTTTAAGGCCTGTTTCCATTTGTTCATGCATTTTCTCTGATCCGATAGCTATTCAATCATAAAAACACCAGGTGTAAATGCCAGGTGTAAAAGACGGAATTAAATCCTATCACTTAAAGCACTTCTTGAGGTTGTTTGAGACGTATTCCAAACAAAACTGGACCAGTTTAATTGCATCTGGTTGTTAAAGCCACATAAGTAAATTTTACTCCTTCCAAAATAGTAATAATAAACATGTGAGCATGCCATATAGGCTAGCCAGATATAACAGGCTACTGAAACACACATGACATCCGCCACAGCCGAGTAGCTGAGCATCTCTTCAGCAAGCCGACACACAAATTGCCGCATATGAAACTGAAAGTTCGCCATTGCATCCTGAAGCTAAACACAGTGATCTTCATTAAAAGTAGTGAGACCAAATTATTGTACCAGTGCTATAATTTAGTGCCGCTCTCTATCCTATTGTGGCCTTTTATTTTGTAACTAGCTGATAATAATTAAAATGCAGTGCATATCTGTTGCTTTTGTCGAGGTGAACTCTGTTAAATTTGCATACAGTGCCGGGATTGAGGATCAGATTTATATTAATTTTGCAGAAACGTTAATGTGTCTAAGTGTAAAAGGAACTGTTTTAACAAATCAGATGCCAATCCAATCATCAGTTAAAGCACATGAAGTAACCAGATGTGTGAGCAGGCGTTTGAACAGGACTTAAAAATAGCCCAACTTTAACCATTTAAGTTTTTAACTTCTACGACATTTTCAGACTTTGTGTTTTCCAGGGCTGTTAGAACCCAGTTGTAAATCCATGTGGGAACCAATTTTAAGTTCTGGTTGTTTTTGTGGTGTATGCATCTTGGGCTCAACAACAATATTATAACTGACTTAATACTCACATTTAAGTGATATGAATAATTGGGCATAGGTTTCTTATAGGACAGACCTTGCTCTTCTTCAGTTCTCCAGTGCTTCTGCTGCTTTCATCATTATCCATATCCTCTCCTTCATCATCATCATCATCCTCCTCATCTCCATCGGCATCCTCTTCCTCATATTCCTCATCCTCTTCCTCAGGTGATCCACTGCCTGCATAACCATAAAGGCTCAGGAGCTCCTGAATGGGCATTTCTCCTTCCTGTAGTTCACAGAAATCAAGTTCACAGAATGATTATTACCTTTATTTATATAGAACTTTAAGCAATTCAATTTCAAATCAGTTTCACAGAAATTAATTGTAAAATAATGATCAATGATGCAAGCTTCATCAAACACGGGACAAATTCTCACGTAAAGCAACATTAGCATCATTGAGTTCAATGTTGATTCAGTTCATTTAAATAACTGTGTAAAGTACATCAGTTACTAAAAGAGTTAAGCCGTAATCAGCTCTACAGAAAAACAATACCATCGTTATTCAGCTCAATTCAATGTTGATTGAATTCAGTTTGTAAAATTTAAACTCAAAATTAAAACGAGATCACAATGTCCATGGATGGGACATTGTGTATGAGTGTATGTGAGTGGAGGTAGTGCTTTGGGTCTGACATACTGTCTTGGGCTGCCAAGTCATGGATCTGTTTTGTTTATAGTTTTTAATTAAAGGGTTAGTTCACCATGAGGGTGAGTAAATACTGACAGAATTTTCATTTTTGGGTGAACTAACCCTTTAAGGATGAAACAATTACCGGTTTGATAAACCAAAATAAAATGTCATTAAAACGGCGTTTGATCAATCTTGAAAACTCATGGTAAATCCTCTCCAGCCAGCGCCAGTCTGGCACAGACACAGCATGCAACGTTGTTTTTTTGACAGTCTTTTCAGTCTTCTTGAGCCCAGAACACACCAAGCTGACACTGACAAACTAGCGCTGATGAAAGCTGACTGTGTTGTCGCCTCTCGTCCGCTCTCATCGGGGTAAAAAGCTGCACTTGAACACACCGCGAGAACTACAGGCGAATGTCAGCTATAATGTGCATTCTGCGCCTGCGTGTAATGAGCCAACTATCTATTTCTGCAGATATATTAGTCTATATTCGTCATTCAAAAAAGGAAAACCAACGCTGCGGGCTGCAGATACACATACCTTAAACAAAGCAGCGCATGCTTACCGTTTTGAATATCAATCCTGCTAAAAGCTTTCTTTATTCCACTCCGCTCATGTTAATATTGAAATATTCGCCAACGAACACTCAGGTAAGATGATGTAACATAACAACAGCCTTCTATCTTTACCGTTTTGACTTCTTTGCTTGCTGTAGGCTAGTGTTTGGCAGGCTTTTATTATCGTGCACTGACTTTCACTAAACTGAACACCAGCCAATCAGAGTTATCTCTTTCCCCGACATCCCGACACCGATTCAATGTCGAATCGGGTGAAACAAAGTGAGAATTACAGGGTACGTCACGATACGATACAATACGATACATGGCTCATGATTCTGATAATATCATCACGATATAGCAATTCAGCAATAATCGATATATTGCTGGATAATCCTTTAATCATACATCATGATATCTAACTATGAAAACAAAATGCCAGTAAAAAAAGTTTAAGGGCAGGTTTTCTCTCTTTATTAAAGTCCAGACTGTTAGAAAACCGCACAAAAAGTTTATTGTATAAATTAAAATATCGATGCCGATTCTCATATTGCACGGAGGAGGAGGATATTGCCCTATCGATATTTAGTCCCACCCCTAGTGAAGATTGATTTATGTTCGCTTAAATTAAAAGTTGTTAAATTATTTCAAGCCTTATAAATGTTAAAAATTATAGCTTTCAATTATACTGTAATGCTAAATGCCTATAATTAATGGCTGAAATTGAGCTGAGCATCTTTCATAAAAATATGCCATTAAACAAATATTTAAAATATTATAGGTAACTCTGTCTTTATGTTGTTTCTATGTTAATTTGGAGATTAATTGTGAAATTATTACAATATAAAAATATATGATAAACTTTAATATTAGGTTTTAATACCGATTGATTATAGAAAAAAAATAATTTGTTAATTTTAATCGATTGACAGCACTATATATATATACTATATATATATATATATATATTAGTGCTGGGCATCCAAAGTTTGTGTTTACATAAAATATGTGTGTGTACTGTGTATAATTATTTTGTATTTATAAATACATATGCATGTATATATTTAAGAAATATTCGCATGTACTGTATATATATTTATATATAATTTATATTAAACAATTTTTTCTTAAACATATACACACATGCATGTGTGTGCATTTATATATAATGTGTATAATTAAATAATTATACACAGTATACACAAATATTTAAAAAAAAAATATCATGTAAACACAAACTTTTATTTTGGATGTGATTAATCTTTGCCCAGCACTAATATAGATTTATACTATTTACTAATTATATATACTGTACATACACCCAAACAGGATATAGAGTGGTGCAGTTAGAACCCAGAAGACTACTTCGTTGCTGGTTCCTTCCTAAATTTCCTATGAGGTTTCATAATGGGGTTTATCAATTTATGTGTAAAATAAAGCCTGTGGTAAACATAACTTTATTATTCTATAATATTCTTTTCTACAACAAATGAATTGTGATCATTTCTGATTTGTGCTCATTTCACAATTTTTGACGTTTTCAAAACGTACATTTGACGAACAACGGGGCGGGGTTGGTTTTGGTTCAGTTTGTCAGGTTTTGGTTCAAAATATGTTTGGTTCAAACCTGAACCAAACATACTGTATATTTTTACTCAAAGACCAACAGTCTGTCTTTAGTCTGCCACAAAAAAAACTAAATAAAAAACATTAAAATCATGAACTTAAATGTCATTGTGAGAAAAAAAAAAAAGTGTTACTGATGACAGAGGCTAAATCAGACATTTCAGGCTATAGCCTAACGCTAATAAGCCTTATGCCAAAATTATTATTACAACTAAATTGTCGGTCATTAAATAGGAAAACTAAATAATTCTATAGATGATTTCACTTCAAGTGTAACACAACATCAGACATTAAGGCATGGCCGAAGTATTTTTTTGCACACAGTGACGCGACCAATGAATCACTCCTTTAATGCTGCGTTTACCTTTGCGAGTTCTTCAATCTCATTGCCAAAGTTAGTGTCTCCCTCTGGCAGCTCCTCATCTTCAGGAGTTTGATCATCATCATAATCAGGCAACAGCATCTCTGTTGACACATCAAAATCCACATTGTCAGACCCAACCAAAACTCATGGCATCAAATCGTGAGTATGTATAAAGACATGTTTTACCATGATAAGAAAAATAATAACAGTCTTACCTGGGCTTGAACTCCCCAGGGAGGGCTAAAAATTCAAAAATCAAAAATAAGACATAAAAAGTTAAAAAGAAGCAAAAAAAAATAAAAATGCTGTAACATTTAGATTAATACATTCTTTTTTGGAGAACAGATATCAGGTTTGATTATGAGGATTATGAGGTTTGTGTTGGAACTGTGTTGGGTAGCTGTTGGATTTCTGATATAAAATCTGGGTCCTGATGTAAAGTCAGTTGTGAACCACTGGACTAAAATAACAGTTTAAAATACAACTTTTTATGCAGACTGTGTGGTTAAATCAGCTGTAAAACTTGCATAAAGTAAAACAGTAAATCATAAAAATGACCACTGAAATCTATTAATTGTAATGATCCATGATCTATGATAAATATCTGTGTGGATGACTATGTATGGCAGCATCCAAGCAGACCTAATTCAGAATAAAATGATGCAATACAGCAGTTTTTTCAGTGATCCATATTATTTTTATTTAGTTTATACACAAACAAAAATGCCTTCTGTTATATTAAACCTTGCAAGCAGGCCAGGGTTAAAACATTCATGATAAAACCAGAGGAATCAGA